CTCTAGTTTATGAAACTGTTTACCTTTTTTCTGTAACATTTTTGGTTCTAAAGTTACATACGTTTTAAACAGACCATGTATGAAACATGGAACAAAAAAAAAACAAAAAAAGACCTGCAAATCATGTAAATAAACTAATGTATTTCATCATATCTTGTTATTTGATCTTTGAACTGTTGCTGAAGGTACATGATTTAAAAAAAAAAAAAAAAAAGTATTTAAAATGATAAAAATTTGCTTGGAAGGACTGACATATTTTATAGAAATAGTTATTCATTTCATTTTGAAGTAATATTAAAGTATTTGGAAGAAAAAATAACCTCATCATGTAACATCATTGTCCTTTGCGTTTCATTTTACACTTTTTGGAGTAAACTTTTCTAAAGGCAACACAAACCCAGTGGCAGTTTGTTATTAGGTTTAAATGGGGTTTTTGTCATTGGGAAGAAGACTTAGAGTGTTTTTTTCCTTTTCTTAAGAAGTAAATAGCTTGACCAATTTTCTTGTCTCTAACCTCCTTTTTGCTCAGTGCCTGGTAAAGTCGTAAAGTCTGGCATCTGTGGAGCTGTTTCCTGGGTGCAGTGTTTATTTGAGTGTAAAACTGACTGGGTTCATCTGTAGGGAGGAGATGGACTAAAGCTGCATTGTGTAACTTTTCTGGTGGAGGGTTTGTCAAATGCTTTTATCCATGCAGGTTTTTATTATTACTGCTTTGTCCAGAATGTTTCACAGTATGGTATTAAACCTTACGATCTTCGTGGAGACCAAACCAGACCAAGTTTGGAAAGGCGACCCCGCTCACAGACATGAAAACGCTTTCGGGTAAAAACAACAAAATGTTTTATTGGAAGTGCCTTTTGTTTAGAGGCTTTGGGGCTTAAAAACGCAAAAATCTGAAACCACCCTCCAGAGTGATAAAATTTAATACGCTTCACCGTAGCGTTTCCGTCTACACTGCCCAAGACGCAAAACTCTGGTCAGATCTGCTCACGTCGCGTACGTGTTTAAGTCACAAACATACAGTACACAGAAACAAACATGTCGGATCACTTCCATACGCTGGACCTTCCTCTCTGGCAGCTCTAATAAACTTACAGGAGGCATCCCAACAAATATACAGAATCTGCAGAGATACAATTAGTGAACTGAGAAGGATCTGTAATACATCCATGCTGTATTTCAGACTTCCAGTCATTGCGCAATGCATACTGGGAAGGGTCCTCCGAAAAAATGAGCATCAAACCGCCATGTTTGTTTTCCCAGTGGGATCGGTCTCTTGTCAAATTTGATCTTTTCAAGTCTTTTGAACCATATCACTTTTGTTTCTGGTTCTGATATTGTCATATTTCAGTTTTGGGATTCGGACATCGTTAATTGTGTGGTTGTTGGATCCTAACAGCGGAAAACGACTCGAGAAATTTGTTTGCGAACTCCATAAATGCAAAAGGGAATCAGATGTGTGTGACTGCAAACCTCCGTTCAAACTGTTTCCCTTCCCAACGGAATTGAAAAATCGTGAAAGGCGAAGGCGATGGGCAGGATTCATCCACAGGAAGGACCAAAAATTAAACCTTTGGCTGCTTAAGAAATCATCCCGAGTTTGAAGCGAACATTTTGTATGTGGAGCGCCATCAAAGCAAAATCCCGATCCCTTGCTCAACCTCGGTTACGAATTTAAAAAGTCAACGCCAAAGCGAAAGGCACCAGCTGTTTGCCAAGAAACACCTTCCACTGCAAAGAGACCAAGACGTGATGTATGCATGTATGTGTGGATATGTTTTTTGTATATATGTGGGTATATTTTTGCAAATGACAGGTAAGCACTCCAAAGGTGATATTTAAAAAAAAAAGGGAAAAAAAAGTGAACCATGTGTTTATGTAAAACAATTGGGGTAGGACTCCATACATTTTTAAAACTTCATCCTACTCCTTTTGAGCACCAGTTCCCAAATATGTCATGTACATATCACTATTTTTGTTATTGTTTTTGAATCTTGTTGTACCTGGCTCAAACAAATAAATAAATGAATGAATTGAATGAATGATGTTGCTGTAAAGTCAAACAAGAAAGTGCGAGCTCAGTCTGTCTGTCTTCTGCACCTCTCGCTTAACAAACGGGATTTTGCTTTGGTACGCACCTGGTCCTCGCGGTCGAGCCAGACGGTTAGGGACGAGAACTGGAAAACCAGTCGATGGTGGGACAACTTTGTGGAAGGAGTAGCTGATGAAATTGCGTTGTTCCGTATGTCCAAAGACGCCCTTGTTGCTTTAACTCTTTCCCCCATGAAGACGACATTTGACGACCCCCCCTGAACCCTTAATGACGACTTTTGACACCTCCGCCGTATCACTAAAGACGAGATTTGACGACCTTTAGAAATGGCTCGGTTTTTCACATTTAAACAGAGACTGTGATCGGTCGGGGCCACTACAACCCACACTAGACTGACCAATAGGATTCAAGGATATGTTTTCGCCGATTTTTTCCGAAGTTAATCGAAATAGTGACGATGGTAGCTTCCGGAAAAAACACAACACGAAACACGTTTCAAAGTGATGATGTTGAAGTTGATTATAAAGTGGAAAACAGCGATAGCGACGGACTTTCGGGGAGAAGGTGAGAACGCCGCTGATGCGTCTGTGTGGAGTCCTGCGATGTCCCAACAAACTATCTGAGCTTTATACTCGATTATGAACCAAAATTGCCCTGAAATCTGGATGTTGCCCAGGTTAGTCCTTTAAAATATTTCAGTCTTTTTTTCCAAGATGCGATGTATAACAGAATCGCTACAGAAAAAAACGCTTATGTGGAGCTCTGCGCACGAGAAAGAAACCAAGATGACAAATACTGGACACACACTGACGGGGAAGAGTTTTATTATTATATTATTATATTATAATAAGCTAAATTAGTTGAATAAATAAAATAAGTTGAATAAGCTAAATGAGTTGAATAAATAAAATAAGTTGAATAAGCTAAATGAGTTGAATAAGTTAAATGGAAAAAAATGAATTGGGTGCACACAGGTGAACAACAGGTAAAAAACAGGTGTACACTTGGCTATACTGTATCTGGTGATATGAAATCTGTTTAAATACTTTGACAAAGTATATTTTTTATTTTTTTATGAATATAGTACTCAGAACATGCAGATATCAGATGCTGAATGTAGTTTTTTGTTTTCGAGTTTGCACCTGACCAGGTAAACTCTCATTTTCAGTGAGCTGTTATACACCTATAAATGAGTTGAATCACATTTAAACATCCAGAAATGAATAGTTCAGAGTCTAAGGTTTCCAGAGATACAAGTATGTCTGTGTTACAATTAAGTTCATGAGTGTAAAAATCATTTATAATCACTCGTGGAAGTCTGTTTTCTTTTATGCAGTTATGCTCTATGGGTGTAGCCCTAGTAACATATGTATGGGTTGTTCCTAGTAGGCGTCCAGGGGGGAAAGAGTTAAGTACAAACATACCCAATCGAATTCCACACACTTTTGCTCGTCAAACGCAGAATAAAAAGCGAAGACGCGACGCCACTTTTCAGACCGTCATCATATAAACGTAGCCTCAGAATGCCTTTTTTCTAGATATTTTTGAGCTATAAAACCACCTGTAATCGAATAAATGTAAGGTAGAGCTGTTTAATGTCATGCTGTGAAACATTCCAAGCAGAGCAATGACATATCCATAGAAAAACAAGTCACACCGTGCGCATTTACGAGTGTTGTTTTCCTTTTCTTAAGAAGTAAATAGCCAGACCAATTTTCTTGTCTCTAACCTCCCTTTGCTCAATGCCTGGTAAAGTGATAAAATGGCAAAGCTTCCCGGGTGCAATGTTTATTTGAGTGTAAAATTGACTGGGTTCATCTGTAGGGAGGAGCAGGACCATCAGGCAGAACTTTCATTTCTTACTTTATAGACTTGTACGGGAGTTTAAAGGAGGACGAATTGATCGGAAAGTAAGCAAGAGCTAAAACGTCTTCTTTTAGCTCTGCTCAGAAATAATCGTCCTGGGAAATTACCCTTTGGAGTCGGCAATGTGTAATTTATTGTGTGAATACTGAGGTAGTTTCCATTTATTTCTTTACAACTATTAGAAAAAATAACAAATACAGCTAATTGTGAAGTAGTGCTGCACTGAGCTGAGGGAGAGAAAGAGGGGAACAGTTTTGACTAAATACTGCTAAGGCTTTATTTGGAGTAGAAAATCCCAAGACCAAATTTAGACCTGGTTTTGGACCTGGTTTATCCCTGGTTTAGACCCGTTTAGCCCTTGGTTTAGTTCTTGGTTTAGTCATGGTTTAGTCATAGTTTTGCCTTGGTTTTGACCTGGTTTAGACCTGGTTTAGACCTGGTTTAGACCTGGTTTAGCCCTGGTTCTGTGCTGGTTTAGACCTGGTTTAGACCTGGTTTTAGACCTTCATTTAACCCTGGTTTAACCCTGGTTTAGTCCTGGTTTAGTCTTGGTTTAGCCCTTGGTTTAGCTCTTGGTTTAGCTCTTGGTTTAGACCTGGTTTAGATCTGGTTTAGTCCTGGTTTGGACCTGGTGTAGACCTGGTTTAGACCTGGTTTTGTGCTGGTTTAGACCTGGTTTTGTGCTGGTTTAGACCTGGTTTAGACCTGGTGTTAGACCTGGTTTAGGCCTGGTTTAGGCCTGGTTTAAACCTGGTTTAGACCTGGTTTAATCCTGGTTTAGCCTTGGTTTAGTCATGGTTTACTTCTTGGTGTAGTTCTTGGTCTAGTCCTCTTTTAGCCCCTAATTTATTTTAGTCCTGATTTAGACTCTGATTTAGACCCTGTTTTAGTCCTGGTTTGGACCTGGTTTAGGCTTGATTTAGACCTGGTTTAGACCTGATTTAGACCCTGATTTAGTTGTAGTTTTGACTTGGTTTATTAATTATTAATATTAATTTTGGCCTATAGAGTGTTGTGATGCCATCTGAAACCCTGAAACCCTTGTAAGTGATTTTAATTAATTATTATCTTTTTTTTGTAGCATCGTGTGACGGGCGCAAAGACTCAGATGATCATGGAGGACTGGGACTTCCTTCAGCTTCAGTGTGCGCTCTATATAAACTCTGAGCTCTCTGGGATCCCTCTGAACATGGCCCCAAAGAAGTGGACCAGAGGATTTGTGCAGAGACTGAAGGGGAAACAAGGTAAGAACCAGGGCTATTTAAGGTCCTATATTACTCAAAATTGACTTCTGTGAGCTTATAGTCAAGCTCTAATGCTGTTACCGCCTCAAAAACAGACCTGGAGTGGTCTTAGAACAGAAAATGTAAAAATAGGTAAGGTACAAACCGGAGGCACTCTGACTGAATATATTAAAAGTCCTTTATTACATGAAGGGACGCCAACACGTTTCGACCAGCAAGATGGTCTTCGTCAGGGCAAAGTAGTACTTTTAATATATTCAGTTGGAGTGCCTTGGGTTTGTACCTTACCTATTTTTACATTTTGCTGTAAGGGTAATTTTCTGTTCTAAGACCAGTGTCTGAACCCTCGTAGAGCACTTGTACTGATATTTTTTTACTCTTTTAAGACCCAGTGAAGCGCTCTACCCCTCTTGTTTTTTCTAACGCATCAAGATCTGGAGTTGTGTTTTGTTTTATTTGAACACTCTTTATGATTACCGTATTTTTTGGACTTTAAGGCCCACTTAAAATCCTTTAATTTTCTCAAAAATCAACCTTATGTATTAATTCTAGTTGGTGCTTACTGACCTTGAACCGATTTTATGTGGTACACAGTGCTCAAAAATCTGTCAAAATGTTTTAGTACGACTTTGGTAAACTATGAAGTCGCACCGCATGATGGATTACGGCTACTGTTGTCAGGAGCCTCACAGAGTCGTGTCCTTTAGTCCGACAGAAGCTGAACCGCATCAGCGCACAAGGAGTGAGCTGTTTTTTCAGAGCTTATAGTTTATGCAAATTAGTCATGTGATTTTAAGTTTAGTTTCTGTAAAACGTAAACAAATGTGGGCAAAGCTGCATTAAACACATTATTACTCAATGTATATTTAAGTCGTCCTTGTAGGAAATAAAAAAACAAACTTATTCACATTCATAATACACATTCAGCAAGACAAGGAGGAAACGCTGGTCGAATTAGGCCAAGATCTGTCAATGGATCATGGATGCCTGGGCTAAGGATCAGTCTCAAGTGTCGTCCGTTTGTTTCACTTAAAGGTTGTATAGAGGATTTTCCAAGGAACGAGAAATCCAGCGACTGTTTGTCCTTTTTCAAATGTTGCGCATGCGTGAAACCACCCCCCCTCCCCTACAGCTCCTACGTAGAAACACCTCCTCCCGCCTCCTCCTTACGCCAGAAACAGGTTTGTTTACAGCCGGTGCTGCACATGACTTGTAAACAACTAACTACAGTGTTGGTTAGGCAAGACGGAGAAGTGAGGAGCGGGGGGGAGGAGGTGCGCGGACATTTCGTGCGCGGACGAGAAGTGAGGAGCAGGAAGAAGAGCGGATCGGGCAGCGGGGAGAGGAGCAGGAAAGGGGTGCAGAGAAGGTTGCGCGGAGATTCAGTGCGAATGAACTAGCTACACGCAGCAGCAAGCGGACTCTTTCTTTGCCTTGAAAATTACGTTTTCAGACATAGGATATCGCTTTCGTGTCCTGAAAAACGTTTGTCTAGCTCTTGGAAATAAAGTACGTTTTCATAATAAGCAGAAGTAACCTGTCCAGGCATAATTTGTGGACCAGTGCGTCAGTCTTTAGACCCTTCGTCTGCTTCAGTTGCGCCATCGCTGGAATTAATTTTCAAGAATCACCTTAGTTTGGCTTTGCTGCTTTTCCCCTTGTCTTCTTCTTTCAGCGACCTCAAAAACGGACTTTCTTTTGCGGCGAACTGCTCCTGGATTCTTGTCGCCATTGCAACAAACTTTGTGCGAACTGCGAGGAAGATATAGGTAAAAAAAAAAACCGCTAAGAACTGTTGCGTTGGTGGAGTAAACAGCGTCTGTGCGTCTTGCGTCTGTGGACTGCGTGACAGACGTACGTAAACCACGTACCGGCGGCGCGCAGGCAAGTCAGTTACGCTAGAAACGTAGGGAGTTTGATTGACAGCCTGTCAGCTAACAGATAACGAGGCAGTGTCGTTATCTATTGGCAAATGTTTAGCCCCACCATGTCCAGAGTTGATGAATTTTTATTCTTTTTTTGGTCATCATAATTACAAGGCTACTGCACCTCTATAATCTATCATTGACAATTTGAAACAAAAAAAAATCCTCCATACAACCTTTAACGCTCCTTATAATCCAGTGCACTTTATGTATGAAAATAGATGAGAAAATTCAACATTATTGATATTGCACCTTATAATCCGGTGCGCCTTATTACCGAAAATTTACTCTTGTGAGCTTTTAGTCATGATATAATGCCGTTACCTCCTCAAAAACAGACCTGGAGTTGTGTTTTGTTTCATTCAGACACCCTTCATGATTAGTCTGTCTAAATCTATTAAGTTCAAAATGCTCTCCTCCGGCCTTGTGATGTCATGAAGTGGTTGTTTCCAAGTTGTCAACTACTTTTTGACCTTTTATTCAGTAGAGATTGGCAACTCCAGAATTTCCCTAAATTATCCAAATGATTCTGGTGAAGCTGTATGGAGTTGTAGTACCTCATCGCAAGGTGGAACAGAGTGTTTTGAGAAAAGAACTCAGCCTAATTATGCAGATTTGTGTGTTAAAAATGTGTGAAGGAAACAAAACACAACTCCTCACCTGTTTGTGATGAGGAAACTACATTATTACAGACAGACACTTCAGAAAACAGAGTAAATCGATCTCCTGTAACTTTTTTGCTCTGCCATTTTGCTTGTCTCCATGGAGATGCTGCTGCTTGGCTGGTATGTCCCACAGTAGTGCATTAAACTTCTATCTATTTGGGAGATATTCACTTAAACATACTTTTTTTTTTTTCCCCCAGTATTTTTATACATTTTCAGACAAAAAATATTTACACAAACAGCTGACCATGTTATTAACACAGGTCAACATATAACTGAAAAAATTTAATAAAATATAAATAATAATAACTAGGGATGGGCATGATTAGTCGATTAATCGATAATTGATCATTAAGAATTTCATCGTTTACGTTCATTTTAATCGACAAACCGAATGTAGGTTGCTGTGCGTAGCGTAGAGCGACCAAACAGGGTCAGTACGTGTAGCTCTCTGCACACAGAACGAGCGAGACACTAACAGTCGGTCAGTCTACAACGTACTGAAGTGCAAATATGAATCATGTGCAACGATGACTTGTACAAGAAAGTCCATGCTTTCCGTTCGGGACAAGTGTGAGTCCATGTGCACAGTGTATAAAGCAGCACATATGTTTCGGTGTCCAGTGGGAAAAAGCTTTGCCAGGTGAGAGTCGCGCAATGTCGATGACGAGTCCCCACCTCCCTCCCCCCGTACGATGTCCTGGTTTTGACAAACGCAAATCTGGTCACACTAACCTGTATTCCACTGAGTCATGTCTTTTAATCTGACAGAAATTGACTGCATCAGCGACACAAGAGCTGTAGTTTTATCTTCGCTTAGTTTATGCAAATTAGCGATGCGGTTTTAAGTTTTGTTTCTGTGAGAGTTGCGCAAAACTGAATTAAACACATTATGGTAAATGGTAAATGGTCACATTTTTCTATAGCGCTTTTCCACCTTCAAGGCACTCAAAGCGCTTTACAACAAGGAACCACTCACCCATCAAACGGGCTGATGTGGCTCTAGAGTCGTTACGGTTTATATGTCGTAAAGTTGAATTTATTTATGCAGATTAGTAGTGCAGATAGTAATAATAATTATGATAATTTTAATATAAAAACGTTAATGATTAATCGATAATCGATCGTTAATTCTTCCGACGATCGATTAAGAAAATTTCACCGAATGCCCGTCCCTAATAATAACGGTAAATGGTCACATTTTTCTATAGCGCTTTTCCACCTTCAAGGCACTCAAAGCGCTTTACAACAAGGAACCACTCACCCATTCACACACATTCACACACCAGTGTACGCAGACACTGTGGGCAAGGTGGGTTAAGTGTCTTGCCCAAGGGACACAACGACAGCATTCATCTGTGGGAGCTGGAATCACACCAGCCAACCTGTGGGTCAGTGGATCTGACCGCTCAACCTGTGATTTATTTATTTATTTATTATTTTTTTTTAATAATATAATAACAAGCCAATTCACACTCACACACTCATACACACATACACATTCACATATTCACTAAACAATATTTGCACAATACAGTCTATCAGTCGCAAGTCAGAGATTTATATTCAGTGACCATATTTACTTTAAAAAAAAGAAAAATGGGTAAAAAAAAAATAATAATAATAAAAAATAAATAAATAAATGAATCACTTAAACATACTTATTTTGACTGTTTGAAAATACTAAAAAAAAAAAAAAAACAGCCCCAAGTTGTGTCATCACATTAATATTAATAATAACAACATGCTAATGCGCACTTCCTGATTCTCGGACAATACAACGCTTTAAAATTAGATGCAGACACCACACAGTAAACAGATTTTGACCTCAAGAGCTGTTTATAAATTTATCTGTTCTGGGGAAAGACAAATTTAACTAAAATACATGGGGAAAAATGGGGTACAGTTTCTATTATTTTGTTTTGAGTATTACATTCTATGGTCAAAAAAAGATTGTGATTTCGCCGTATCTGAGTATAAAGTCTTTTCCTTGTTATCGAAATAGTTAGACTAAAAACTTAGGGAAGATTGGTAGAGTTTGGTTCTATGTAGGATTCAGCGCTGATAATTTTCCTGACAGTTGAAAACGTGTACCCCACCAGTGCCAGTTATTTTTCAAACTTTAATTGGTGTTTTGGGAAAGAAACTTCACAAAGTATCTTGTAAAATACTGTATTTTTTTCCTAATTAATCCTTAAGGAATAGTTTTTGTCAAGAGTGAAACTTTTTTCCATTTTCTAAAGTTTTAAAGCCTCTGCCTGTTACGGTTCATTTCTGTGAAGGAAACAGTTTGTGTTGATTTAGTGCTCTTTAGTTTTGATGAGATACGGCTAAAGTGGTGCTGGTCCACTGTAGATAGTTTAGACATTGGTTTGGACCCTGGTTTAGACCACATTGAGATCTGATTGACTCGTTTTGGGCCTGGTTTAGTCCTGCTTAAGGCCTGGTTTGGACCTAGTTTAGGCCTGTTTTATCCTGGACGCCATTTACACAGAAACTATCACTGTATCACCGTATTGCGTCCACACACGTCGTTTCTGTGTCTGCAATCCTTCCTTATCCACACAGCTTTGAGCATATTTGTTTACATTTTACAGAAACAAATGGCTCATTTGCATAAACTGAGCCCTCAAAAAACAGCTCATTATTGTGCGCTGATGCGGTTCAGCTTCTGTCGGACTAAAGGACACGACTCAGTGGAATATGAGTGTTGTTTCTGTGACAGAGGGGTGTTCTGCTGATGGTGAGTCTGTTCTGTGCTTCTGTCGTGTTGGAGATGCTTCATGTTAAACTTTTCAGAGTTTATACATCTGCAGGTCGCACACACAGACCGTTTATATCACAGGTGTCAAACATGCGGCCCGGGGGCCAGATCCGGCCCTCCAAGACCTTTAATCTGGTCCTCGGCTGATTTTCTACTCAAATATTTAAATTCTATTTTTTATTAAAATATTGTTAATTCTCTGTGGTGTTTATCACAGCAGCGTCTCCAGTGTCTCTGTACGTGGCCCCTCCCACCAGAGCAGCACAAATGAAGACTTGTCTCTTTCCAAACGCTCTTAAAGGACGATCGTTTTGACTGTTGACCGTGACACCCTCATCAGAAAAATGTCCAACATGAGAAAAGTGGAGCCGAGTGCAGGATTATCCAAGAAAAATTGACTTATTCCTATTTATACAAGTTAATGTTAAACAAGTTCATGTTAAAACGTTGTGTTGAAATTACATTTTTCTTAAAGTTTCAGGTTGTTCATAATATTATAATATTTTGTAAAAGAAAGAGTTCATCAATTAAAAAAAAGATTTCTGTAATAGATTTGTGTTTCTCTGCACAAATATTTGAACTTATTGTTATTTTTGGGGTTTATATGACATGAGTTTTCTGATCCGGCCCCTTTGGGATCAAAGTAGGTTGGATACGACCCCCGGACCAAAATGAGTTTGACACCCCTGGTTTATATGAATGGACATATATTCTAGCCTCTTCGTGTTTTGGCGGTGAATTACTAATTACTTACCTACATCAGAGTATCAGTGTTTTCAGGCGTCCACACGGTGCTGGATCAGATCTGTACTCAGATGAATTCGTGGGAGCTGGAGGCACCAGATCATTCCGTGTCTGGAGCCGTTTTCGATCAGATTAGTGTGAACGAACACTGCATCTACAACAAAAACGACTCAAATATGAACTAGTGTGGACGGGGCCTTAGAAAGTTAGCCACTGTCTGTTTTGATTCTTTTCTGTCTAGGGACTTCGAATTTTGGACAGTTTTTCTTGATTTTGTTTAGTCCCGGTTTGGACCTAGTTTAGTTCTGCAGTTTAGTCCTGGTTCAGTCCTGGTTCAGGCACCTAGCTCAGGCTTGGTTTAGTCTAACTCTAATTTAGTCCTAGTTTAGTCTTTGATTTAGACCTTGTTTTAGTCCTTGTTTGAACCTGCTTTAGACCTGCTCCAACCCATTTGCTTTTACTGTCAGAGAATAGACTGTAGACCTCTCTATTAAAATACCCTGATAATAAATTATGTCAATTAAAATTTGCCCTTCTCTTTTATGCATTCACTCATCTCCCTTGTGTTTTTTCCATTTTATAAAGTTTCTTTTCTTTTCGGTCTAGGGCCTTGGAATTTTGAACAGTTTTTCACTAGATATTACAAAAGTTTTGGAGTAGAGCTCTAGTGCAAGTTTAGACCCAGTTTAGACCTGGTTTAGATATGGTTTAGACCTGGTTTAGTCCTGGTTTGGACCCATTTTATTCCTGGTTTAGTCCTGTTTTGCCCTGGTTTAGATATGGTTTAGACCTGGTTTAGGGCCTTGATTAGACCCTGATTTAGAGCCTGCTTTAGTCCTGTTTTGGACTTGTTTTAGTTTGGGTTTAGGCCCCCAGTTCAGGCCTGTTTTACCCTGGTTTAGATGTGGTTTAAAGCTGATTTAGGATCTAGTTTAGACCTGGTTTAGACCCCGATTTAGAGCCTGATTTAGACCTGGTTTGGACTTGGTTTAGGCTTGGTTTAGTCCTGGTTTAGACCCAGTTTAGGCCCCTGGTTCAGACCTGTTTTGCTCTGGTTTAGATGTGGTTTAGACCTGGTTTAGGGCCTTGTTTTGATCCTGATTTAGAGCCTGATTTAGTCCTGGTTTGGACTTGGTTTAGTCCAGGTTTAGGCCCCTGGTTTAGGTATGGTTTAAACCTGATTTAGGACCTAGTTTAGACCTGATTTAGACCCTGTGTTAGACCCTAATTTAGTCCTGGTTTAGTCCTGTTTTGGACTTGTTTATTTCGGGTTTAGGCCCCTAGTTCAGGCCTGTTTTGCCCTGGTTTAGATGTGGTTTAAACCTGGGTTAGGACCTTGTTTAGACCCTGATTTAGAGCCTGCTTTAGTCCTGTTTTGGACTTGTTTTAGTTTGGGTTTAGGCCCCTGGTTCAGGCCTGTTTTGCCCTGGTTTAGATGTGGTTTAGACCTGGTTTAGGACCTTGTTTAGACCCTGATTTAGAGCCTGATTTAGTCCTGGTTTGGACTTGGTTTAGGCCAGGTTTAGGCCCCTGGTTTAGATGTGGTTTAAAGCTCATTTAGGACCTAGTTTAGACCTGGTTTAGACCCTGATTTAGAGCCCGATTTAGTCCTGGTTTGAACCCGGTTTAGACCTGCTCCAAACTTCTTGCTTTTACTGACAGAGAATTGACGGTAGCCTCATCTCTTGCGTTAAATATTGAATTGTTCTCGTCTTCCGCAGGTCGATTCAGAGGTAACCTGTCCGGGAAGAGAGTGGACTTTTCAGGCAGAACTGTCATCTCTCCAGACCCCAACCTGAGGATCGATGAGGTGGCTGTCCCGGTGCACGTGGCCAAGATCCTCACTTACCCCGAGAAGGTACAAAACACAGTCTATGATCCGTATGCGCTTTCTACTGCCACTAAAAACTAGAGATTAAAGGTCCTATATGACACAAAATCGACTCTTGTGAGCTTTAAGTCATGTTATAATCCTGTTACCTCATCAAAAACAGACCTGGAGTTGTGTTTTGTTTCACATCTTTTACCTTTTGTTTAGTACAGAATAAAAAGTTAAATGACTGTTCTACTTAAAACATATTTTACATTCAAATCCTTAAAGGTGCCACTCTTTGCTTTGTGAGAAAATATTTAGGGAAACAAAAGTACTACGTAATTCCAGATTTTTACTTCATATGTTTGATGTCTTCTGTATGAATCTAAAATATAGAAAGTAGTAAAAATAAAACGATAAATGAGAGGGTGTGTCCAGACTAGGGATGGTCATTCGATGAAATTTTCTTAAATCGATTGTCGGAAGAATTAACGATCGATTATCGATTAATCATTAACGTTTTTATATTAAAATGATCATCATTATTATTACTATCTGCACTACTAATCTGCATAAATAAATTCAACTTTACGACATATAAACCGTAACGACTCTAGAGCCACATCAGCCCGTTTGACATTATAATGTGTTTAATTCAGTTTTGCGCAACTTTCACAGAAACGAATTTTAAAACTGCATCGCTAATTTGCATAAACTCAGCAAAGATAAAACTACAGCTCTTGTGTCGCTGATGCGGTTCAATTTCTGTTGGATTAAAAGACATGACTCAGGTGAATACAGGTTAGTGTGACCAGATTTGCGTTTTGTCAAAACCAGGACACCGTACGGGGGAGGGAGGTGGGGACTCGTCATCGACATTGCGCGACTCTCACCTGGAAAAACTTTTTCCCTCTGGACACCGAAACATATGTTCCTGCTTTGTTCACTGTGCACATGGACTCACACTTGTCCCGAACGCAACGGAAAGCGTGGAATTTCTTGTACAAATCATCGTTAAATACACATTTGTGCACTTCGGTACGTTGCAGACTGACCCACTGTTTGTGTCTCGCTCCTTCTGATGCAGAGACACATGTACAGACCCTGTTTGGTCACGCTACACACAGCAACCTACATTCGGTTTGTCAATTAAAATTAAGGTAATCGATGAAATTCTTAATGATCAATTATCGATTCATCGATTAATCATGCCCATCCCTAGTCCAGACTTTTAACTAATAGTGGATTTTATTAAAGGGCCCATATTACACTGTTTTCTGATCCGTGTTATAATGTTGTTTTCTCACCACAAACAGACCTGGAGTTGTGTTTTGTTTCATTCACACATGTTTAACGCACAAACTGTACATATTTAGGCTGAGTTCTTCTCTAATACAGAAAACACTCTGTTCCTCCTCGTGCTGTCACGTAGGGCTGGGTATCGTTGAGAAGTTGCCGATACAATACATACCTAGATACAGTGCACTTTCGATTCTATACAATTCAATAACCCGGTGTTTGATTATCTTCTGACTCCCACTGGAACCTCTGATTTGACATCACATCCGAGCTTGAAGCGTATTATTATGTTTCGCTTCTCGGACTAGATTATGATTATGACTGTTCCCCCATCTTATGAAAACGCTGCCACTTTAACTTTTGAACTTTGCACTTCATTTTACGTTATGATTTCTCTTCCGTTACATCTTTAGGGACATTATTGCCCGTTAAATCAAATATTTGTTCAATATTGGCCTCACCACTCTGACTACCAAACCCATATGCAGTGATGCAGTGATATGGACACGGTAAGGTATTGCAGTGATACGAATTCCCAGGAAAAGGGGCGTGTCACGTGTGTCGCTAGGCAACTTCCTCGGAAAACCGATAATAAAATGCAGGGTAAGTGTTTGTTAAGCCTCTTCTTGTGAAGCGCTTTCTGTTATGTCAAAAGAGTCATAGGTGTATCTGCCACGTCATCGTTGTAGCAGCTTTAGTTCGTCGTCACATGGGAGGGTGGCAGAAATACGCTGAAATTTGTTTAAAAAAAACGTCAAATCAATTTAAAAACCACTTTGGTGACACATACAAGGCCCACACATCACTCTTAGAAGATAGAAAGCTCTGAAAAGTTGACTTTGCATGAGATGGGCTCTTTAAATCAGTGAAAATGTCAAATGTGTCAGACGAAACGAGTTTCCTTCCTCTAAAAAAGCAACAAAACTGTAGCGTTGTAACAAAATAGTTTCGTAAAATATACGAACAAACCTCTTGGTGATATATCGATACAGCAGCCCATGATATTAAACGATACGATATTTCAATGTTTATTCATACCCCTGGTAATACAGGAAATGCTCCACTGGTGTTTTTAAACCTTTACTAGAATAACTTGGATCATTTCAGTCCTGGAATTGCCAATCTACTGAACAAAAGGTAAATGTAGCTGTTAACTTTAAAACTACAGCTTCGTGACATCACGAGGTGGAACAGAGCATTTTGAGCTTTGGAGATGCAGACAGACTAATAATAAAGAGTTACTCAAACATGTGTGAATGAAGGTTTGAGGTAACAACATTTTAACATGTCTTAAAGCTCACAAGAGTTAATCGATGTCAATTTTGAGAAGTATAAGACCTTTAAACATTTGATATAATGATAAATATTTCTCAGTAGAAGCTGTGGACAATGTTTGAGTGTAACTTTTGATTGACTCTTAGTGGCTTAAAACAAAAACAAAAAAATTAATCTCACCTCTCACTGCACAATTACCAAGACTGTGAAACATAAAAGTGTCATTTGAAGCAGATTTGCCGCGAGGGTAATGAGGGTGACTGCAATAATAAAGTTATAATTCCCTAAACAAATCGTGTTTTTGGGCCAGTAACTTCCCCAAGTGTTTCATCCAAATGTTCAGAAATATTCCCTGTTTCTTTGTGTAACAGTTTTTGCAGTTTTCGCCAGCTCATGTCTTCACTGATTGTCAAATGACTTCAGATGTGATTCAGTTGTTCATTTGTTCAGACTCCCACTTGTCCAGCCGGCTCCAAATGATTTACTGAGATGGAAAACAAAAACGTGGAAATGAAAAACTCAAATGTTTGGCCCAGTTTGACACGTGTCCATTTCATCATCTAAACGTGGGCTTGTAGAAAGACTGGACCAGGACTGGACCAGGACTGGACCAGGACTGGACCAGGGCTGGACCAGGGCTGGACCAGGGCTGGACCAGGTTTATTCCAACTACACTAAACTAATCAGGTCTAAACCGAAGTCTAAACCGAAGTCTAAAATAAACCAGGACTAAACCATGGCTAAACCAGGTCTAAACTAATTCTAAATCAGGACTGGACCAGGTTTATTTCAAATAATTTAAACTAACCCGACTAAACCAGGTCTAAACCAGGTCTAAGCCAGGACTCGATCAGGACTGGACCAGGACTGGACCAGGACTGGACCAGGATCTAAACCAGGTCTAAACCAGGTCTAAACCAGGTCTAAACCAGGTCTAAACCAGGTCTAGACCGGGACTAGACCGGGACTCGACCAGGACTCGACCGGGACTCGACCAGGACTGAACCAAGTGTATTCCAACTAAACTAAATTAACCAGACTAAAACGTGACTAAACTGTGACTAAACTAGGTCTAAACCAGGTCTAAACCAGGTCTAAACCAGGACTCAACCAGATTTATTCCAACTAAACTAACCAGATTAAACTAGACCTAAACCAAGTCTAAACCAAGTCTAAACCAAGTCTAAACCAAGTGTATTCCCGCTAAACTAAAACTAACTAACCAGGTCTAAACCAGGTCTCAACCAGGTCTAAACAGGTCTAAAGCAAGTCTAAACCAGGACTAAACCAAGTCTAAACCAGGACTCAAACAGGACTAAACCACGACTGGACCAGGACTGAACCATGGTTTTTTCAACTAAACTAATCAGACTTAACCGAGTCTAAATCAGGACTCAGCCAGGTCTAAACAAGGATTAAACAACTTCGGGAAATGTAAAACAAAACATGTCAAAACTAAATTCATCTAAAGACGTGTCCTGCTGAACGATTAATCGACTAAAATGAGGGCTGAGCGATACAGAAACAGAGTTCTCATGACTCACGAGACGACACCTGCAGGGGACGCTCATCCACAAACAACTATTTATACAAAATAAATGTACTAAGAAACAAAAACAGATTAAAGTTGTGAATCGTGAGTTTAATCTGCCTTTTCTTTGTATAATACCAAAAAAATACCAAATATTCAACTCACCCACTAACTGTTGTTGTCTCATTTAACTCGTAATAATCTAAATACAGTGATTTGTCCAAGTTTTGGTCCAGTTAAACATCATCGAGTGACTAAACGACAACAAAGCCCTGGAGTTATACCAGTAATATTCCCCGTTTTTCTGTCTTATCCGCACTGATCGGCAAATTAATTAAAAGCCGATTCAACTGCTCATTTGTTCTTACGCCCACTCTTTTTCATTGAGCTCCGACCAATGAAACAGAATAGGAAAAAGTTAAAACTAAAAACTTCAGTCTCGTTGGAGCGTTGTCAGTCTCAGCCTCTGAATATAATTGTTATTGTTCCATCTGTTTTGCAGGTGAACAAAGCCAATCTGGAGTTAATGAGGAAGCTGGTTCGTAATGGCCCTGATGTTCACCCAGGAGCAAACTTCATTCAAAATCGCTCCACGCAAATGAAACGGTGAGTCATCATTTTGTGCTCTAATATACTTTGTGTTTATCAGCATTGTGTAACTTTTGAGAGCGTTTACATCAGGTTTGTCAAACTCAATTTCACAGGGGCCAACATTAAAAACTGAGACTAAAGCTGCGTTCAGACTGCAGCCTGAAGTGACCCAAATCCGATTTTTTGGCTTCTATGTTCCTGTATCTGATCTTTTAATGACAGTCTGAACGGCACAGATCCGATTTTTTCACATGTGACCCAGGACACTTGGATATGTGCTCCTGAAACCGATACATATCTGATCTTTTGACATGTGACTTCAGTGTGAACGGCCAAAGTGCATTCATCCACCTACACGTTATTAACAAGACACAAACGCCACTATTCTGCGCTGAAGTAGGCGAAAATTGTTAATGAACTCCGTGTCACACTCACCACTCTTGGCTCTGTCTCCGCATCCACACGTTCCTTTCAACGGACGTCGCTGCCGCTGTCCCACAAAAACACCACGGACCAAAAACCTCGTCCTTCTCCTTCTCAATCTCCTCCTTAAAACAAGTAAGTCGTTCATGTTCTGGCTCCGGTACGAGAGGAACTTTAAAATCTCCTGGTGCTCAATGCTCGCGTCCATGTTTGGACAACTTCTGTAAACACAAAACACGCTCGCTGCGGTTGACGTCGTCGTGTCTCCAGTGCACATGCGGGACATTTTCGGGCCGTTTAACGTTCACACTGGAGTGACATACAAGTCACATTTAATTGGAAATGTGAACGACCTCGCAAAAACATCGGATTTCACAAAAAAATCGGAATTGAGCGTTAAGCCCTGCAGTCTGAACGTAGCCTTAGTCGGGGGCCGAACTAAATATTTATTGACAAATCAACAACACCTGCATGTTTTCTCTTCTTTCGAGATATTTAAAGGTTGTATAGAGGATTTTTTTAAGGGAAGAGAAATACAGCGACAGTCCTTGTGCGCATTCAGAATTACTGTTGAAGTTTCCTGTCTAGAGGTAATTCAGCGACCGACGCGTCAGTTTTTAGACCCTTCGTCTTCTTCGGTTGCGCCATCGCTGGACGAGGTCTCCAAGAATCACCTCAGTTTGGCTTTGCTCCTTTTCCTCTTCTCTTCTTCTTTCAGCGACCTCAAAAACTGACTTTCTTTTGTGGCGAACCGGTCGTGGATTCTCATCCACCATCGCGACAAACTTTGTGCAAAATGCGAGGAAGCAACAGTTCGAAAAAGCCTCTAAGAACCGCTGCGTAAACCACGAAATCCCCGCGCTCCGACGAGTCAGTTATACTAGGGAGTTTGATTGACAACCTAACAGCCAATAGAAAATGAGGGAGCCTCGTTTTCTGTTGGCTGATGTTTATCTGGCCTCAACACGTCCACAGTTGATAGATTTTTATTTTTATTTTTTTTGGTCATCATAATTACAAAGCTGCTGCGTCTCTGTAATGGTATTTTAATCTTTCACTGACAGTTTGAAACAAAAAAAAATCCTCCATACAACCTTTAATGTTAAACCTTTTCTTAAATGTTTAGCTTAAACATTGAATCCAGAACAAACATAATATAAAATAATAACAACATTTTAAATAAATAATGTCTCTGTAGTCTATCTGTAGCTTTTTAACTCCTTTTAAATGTTTTTTTTTTTCACAAGCCAACAACCAGTCAAAAATAACAACTTGCTTCGATGAGAATCCCGGCGGCAACACATTTGCAAAGCATTCTGGGATTCGTAGTAGCATGGCAGCCGGCTGTAATACATATTTGATATGATCTTGCGGGCCAAATGTAATTATAACACGGGCCAAATATAATTATAACGTGGGCCAAATTTGACCCCTGTACTTGAATGTGACATGTCTGAGTATTGAGGGTTCAGACTAAGGTTACAGAATATATAGCAATTATCAAATCGCTAAGGCTGCAGTTATTCTGTTAGACTACGTTCAGACTGCAGGGCGTAATGTTCAATTCAGATTTTTTTGTGAAATCAGATTTTTTTACGAGGTCATTCACATTTCCAATTAAACTCGACTTGTGTGTGATCTCCAGTGTGAACGTTAAATGCCCCCAAAAGTGTCCCACATGTTCATTGGAGGACATGATGACGTCACACACAGCGAGCATGCTCTGTGTTTATGGAAGTTGTCTAAACACTGTAGCCAGGCTGGTGCCACCTAGTGCCTCCGCTCAATTTTATTTCTCTTCAGCGACTACATCAGGAATTGGAATACACTAGACGGTTTGCAAGAACCCCAGAAGTGAAGAGCCAGACATTCTGTGTTCGCAACGAATCCCAAGATCGAGGATTTAAAGCTGGAGTAAGATTTAAAGGGGGACAACGTTACTACCCTTCTTCCTCACGACCAAATAGCAGCGATTGGTTAAATTAAAAAAAGTACCCGTCTACCGTCGAGGGAACGAATCCTAATGCTGCAAGGCTGATAAATCAGGCTATAAACGCTGAGCTTTTCTCCCAAAAAGGAAGCATGTTTTATTCAAAGACTAAACAAACCAGGACCCAACCAGGACCCAACCAGGACCCAGCTAGGACTCAACCAGGTCTGAACCAGGTCTGAACCAGGTCTGAACCAGCTCTAAATTCCCATGACAGATACTGACCACTGCTGACTGAGATTTCTCCTTTCTCCGCTCTGTCCTCTGTTAATTTTGGCGTCACAATTTGCCAGACTCGCTCAAATGACCGGTAGTTTCTCTTCTCCTAATTCTGAATCCTCAAACATCAGATAACTTGTCACTGGTCTTTTCATTTCCACAAAGATTATCTATTGAACACTTGTCTAACCAAATGTGCTGGGAATTTCTTTCAGATTTTTGAAATATGGAAACCGTGAAAAGATCGCGCAGGAGCTGAGGTTCGGGGACGTGGTGGAGCGACATCTGATTGACGGGGACATTGTTCTGTTCAATCGTCAGCCTTCTCTGCACAAACTCAGCATCATGGCCCATATTGTAAGTTATCTAACGCAACTAGATCTAAACCAGGCCTAAACCAGGTCTAAACCAGGTCTAAACCACAGGAGATCTAAGCAAGGCCTAAACCAGGTTTAAACCAGGTTTAAACCAGCTCTAAACCACAGGAGATCTAAGCAAGGTCTAAACCAGGTCTAAACCAGGTCTAAACCAGGTCTAAACCAGGTCTAAACCAGGTCTAAACCAGGTCTAAACCAGATCTAAACCAGGTCTAAACCACAGGAGATCTAAGCAAGGCCTAAACCAGATCTAAACCAGGTCTAAACCAGGTCTAAACTACAGTAGATCTAAACCAGGTCTAAACCAGTTCTAAACCAGGTCTAAACCACAGGAGATCTAAACCAGGTCTAAACCAGGTCTAAACCAGGTCTAAACCAGGTCTAAGCAAGGTCTAAACCAGGTCTAAACTAGGTCTAAATCAGGCCTAAAACAGGTCTGTTGCAGATCAATTCCAGGTTGTTTCCAGGTCTATTTCAGGCCTAAACCAGGCCTAAACCAGGCCTAAACCAGGCCTAAACCAGATCTAAACCAAGTCTCAGCCAAGTCCATTTCAGGTTTATTTCAGATCTATTCCAGGTCAATTCCAGATCAGTTCCAGGTCAATTCCAGGTCAATTCCAGGTCAATTCCAGGTCAATTCCAGGTCATTCCAGGTCAGTTCCAGGTCAGTTCCAGGTTAGTTCCAGGTTAGTTCCAGGACTATTTCAGATCTAAACCAGGTCTAAATCAGGTCTAAACCAGGTTCAGGGATGTGGTTGAGAGACATTTGATTGATGGTGACATTGTTTTGTCTTCTCTGGTTCATATTTTAAGTTTTCTGAACAGTCCATGTAGCAAGATAATTTTACTTGACAAGTTATTCTTAAAACAAACGACCTCTCGACTAGAATTAATCCAATTTAGAACTTTAAAATCTTGGCCAGATCAGAGAAGTTTGTAGTGTGTCTGAAGATCATTCTAAAATAATTCAGGACGGGTTCATTTCTGTCCTGTGAATGTGACTTTTTTTTAGTATCGATACCTGCAGAAAATGAGTTTCTAGTTCCGATACTAGTTTTAGTATCGATTAGTATTTGATTTTCGATACTTTTGACAACAAGAAAGAAACTGAAAATCTTACTTGTCAAGCAGAATTGCATTTGCTCTGATTGTTATGATTAATTACTGTTGGAGCGAATTTCTGTCAGAGAAAGCCGTTTTGAAAAGTTAAGTTTCTTTGATGTGGATTCAGTTTGTCCGGTTACATCAGTCTGTTTATGGACAAATCAAAACACGTCCACTCCTCCGTTTGAGCAGAGGATTTTCAACAGTAATTAGACTAAGACAGAAAGACAAGAGACACACTAGAAGTTTCCTCATGTTTCAGTTCAGTCGATTGTCACTAATACTTATAATTACATGTCTGTGAACGAACCGCTGATGATTCTGTTGTGTAATATTTGTTTAGTTTTATTTTTACTTCCTTTAAAGGTTTTATATTACGCAAAATTGACTCTTATGAGATTTAAGACGTGTTATAATGTTGTTACGTCCTCAAAAACAGACCTGGAGCTGTGTTTGCGTAACCCTTGATTAGTCCGTTTACATCTCCAAAGCTCAAAATGCTCTGTTCCACCTTGTGATGTCATGAAGAGGTAGTTTCAGGTAGCTCAAATTAACAGCTTTTTACGCATTTTACCGTTAATTAAGTAGAGATTGGAAATTCCAGTGCTGAAATGATCCAAATGATTCCAGCGAAGGTGTATGGAGTTTACAAACACAGTGGAGCCCTTCCCGTATTACCACATGACATCACAAGGTGGAACAGAGTGTCAGAGAAGAACTTTTGCGTGTTTGGGTTTGTGTGCTTAACATGCGTGAATATAACAAAACTTCAGGTATGTTTTTGATTAGGAAAAACCATATAACGTATTTTTCGGACTATAAGGCGCACTTAAAATCCTTTTAATTTCCTCAAAAATCGACAGTGCGCCTTATGAATTAATTCTGGTTTTGCTTACTGACCTCGAACCGATTTTATGTGGAACACGGCGCTCAAAAATCTGTCAAATTGTTTTAGTACGACTTTGGTAAGCTACGTAGACGCACCGCTTGATGGATTGTCGGAACATTACGGCAACTGTAGTCAAGAGCCTCAAGGAGTAAAGAGCGAAGTTTAGTTCTGCGTCGACTCAACGCCGAGATCCATGCTCAACGCACACTGCCGCCGTCACTTTGTCGCCTTTGTCACAGAAAGAACACTCATATTCCAGTGAGTCCTGTCCTTTAGTTCGACAGAAGCTGAACCTCATCAGCACACAAGGAGCGAGCTGTTTTTTTTTTTTTTTTGAGAGCTTATAATTTATGCAAATGAGCCATGTGGTTTTAAGTTTAGTTTCTGTAAAACATAAACAAATGTGCGTAAAGCTGCATTAAACACATTATTACTCAATGTATATTTGATTCGTCCTCGTAGGAAATTATAAAAAAAGCAAACTTAAAGGTTGTATAGAGAGTAATTCAGCGACCGACGCGTCAGTTTTTAGACCCTTCGTCTGCTTCGGTCGCGCCATCGCTGGACGAGATCTCCAAGAATCACCTCAGTTTGGCTTTGCTCCTTTTCCTCTTCTCTTCTTCTTTCAGCGACCTCAAAAACGGACTTTCTTTTGTGGCGAACCGGTCGTGGATTCTCGTCCGCCGTCGCAACAAACTTTGTGCGAAATGCGAGGAAGCGACAGTTCGAAAAAGCCTCTAAGAACCGCTGTGTAAACCACGTAATCCCCGCGCTCCGACGAATCAGTTATACTAGGGAGTTTGATTGACAACCTAACAGCCAATAGAAAATGAGGGAGCCTCGTTTTCTATTGGCTGATGTTTATCTGGCTTCAACATGTTCATAGTTGATAGGTTTTCGTTCTTTTTTTTTTTTTGGTCATCATAATTACAAGGCTGCTGTGTCTCTGTAATGGTATTTTAATCTTAGACTGACAGTTTGAAACAAAAAAAAATCCTCCATACAACCTTTAAATGACCCACCCACATTCACATTCATAAAACACATTCACCAAGACAGGGAGACAACGCCGGGCGAATTACGCCACGATCTGCCGATGGATCGTGGACGCCTGAGCTAAGGATCAGTCTCAAGTGTCGTCCGTTTGTTTCACTTAATGCGCCTTATGTATGAAAATAAACGAGAGAATTCAACATTATTGACATTGCGCTTTATAATCCGAAAAATACGGTAACAATAGTTTGAAAAATAACATAATACGGGCCCCTTATTTAATGGTCCACTATGTAACTTTTCTGGTTGAGGTGTCTGCCATCTGCCTGTTGCCATGGGAGCCTGGAATGTTCCTTAGTATAGTGTGACATTTAACAGGTTTATCTTGCATTTCTTCCATGATTCCGGATGTTTTTGTTGCTAAAAACTACAACAGAAAAACCTGCATTCTAACTCTAAGCAGGGTCACCTCTTCACAGATCTGACCTGTATGTTTGCCAAGCGACGACACCCGTTTGTCTCTATGGAGGTGGATAAATTTAATGCCGTACCGTCGAACATTCCAGTCTAACCAGTAGCATCTCCATGGAAACAAACAGTTGACACCACCAGACCAAGTTCACAGCCGGGTCGGATCTGTAATTCAGTTTTTGAGATATTTTTGAGCAATAAAAACGTCGACATGAATACAAGAAAATTGCCGAAAAGTTACATCCAAATCCACTTTATTTATATTGCACATTTTACAAACAAAGCCGTTTCCAAAGTGATCATAAAATGAAAACGACAATAAGGTAAATTGCAGAAATTTGTTCATACCAGTCCAAACGCAATAAAACCAGTGAAATCAAATAAAAGCAACACCGTAAAAATCATAACATAGAAGTAAATAAATACAATAAATAAAAAACACAGAAGATCACACAACTCACGCGGTGTTAAAAACCACAGAATAAAAGTGGGTCTTAAGACGAGACTTGAAACTCAACACTGTGGAGGTTGTTGGGACATGGGGGGGGGGTCCTGTCCCACCTGGTTTAAAGTCTCATCTTAGACCCCACGAGCTGGAGCTGAACCTCGGACCTCAGATCGCGCTTGGGGGTGTGAATTTCAATGAAGTCCGAGTCGTATCATGTGGCCACACTGGAAAAAAAACAATATCTAGATAAGTTAAAATGACTTACATTAAGAACATTTTCAGAATCAGAATCAGAATCAAATTTATTTGTCATTCCAGTATAAAAAAATACACAGAAACAAAACAATGCACTCAGGTCCAGGTCAACAGCAGCACAGATAACAATAAGAACAAATAGTTATAATAAGAATAAATAGTTATACAAGAATAAAATAGTTTAAAATATTGTATGTCAACCCGCCCCCATTTTCTAAAGTGCGTTCCAAGTCAGTGCTGTTTTGTAGTGTTTTTTCTGACAGAATTAATCTGTCTCACGGCATCAGGATAAAAACTGTTCCGTAGTCTCGTGGTCCTGGCCTGTAGGTGGCGCAATCTTCTGCCTGATGGGAGAACTGTAAAAAGTTCATGTGCTGGATGGGTGGAGTCTTCCATGATGCTGTGGGCTTTTGTCCTGCACCTGCTGATGTAAATATCTTCAATGCAGGGCAGACTACAGCCGCAGATGTGCTCCGCAGCTCTAACTATCCTCTGCAGAGTTTTCCTCTCTGCCGCGGTGCTGCTGCTGAACCACACAGTCATGTTGGTGGTGAGGATTCTCTCCACCGCACACCTGTAAAAGGCCTTCAGGACAGAGGGGCCCACACCTGCTTTACTTTATTTGAGTAGATTCAACTTGACAAGTAAAGTTATCCACCAATAGACACATCAAGAATCTCGACTTCCGGTCATTGCGCAATCCATACTGGGAAGGATTCTCTGAAAAAGTGAGCGTCAAATTGCCATGTTTGATTTCCCAGCGAGATGAGTCTATTGACAAAGCCGATCTTTTCTAGTCTTTTGAACCATATCGCTTTTGTTTCTGGTTCTGATATTGTCATATTTTAGTTTTGGGATTCGGACATCGTTAATTGTGGCTGTTGGATCCTAACAGTGGAAAATGGCTCGAGAAATGTGTTTGTGAACTTCATAACCTCAAAAGGGAATCAGATGTGTGTGACTGTAAACCTCTGTTCAAACGGTTTCCCATCACAACGGAATTGAAAAATAGTGAAAGGTGAAGACGATGGGCAGGATTGATCCACAGGAAGGACAAAAAAGGAAACCTTTGACTGCCTAAGAAATCATCCCGAGTTTGCAGCGAACATTTTGTATGTGGAGCACCAATAAAGCGCAATGACCGGAAGTCCGAGATTCTTGATGTGTCTATTAGAGGTCTGCGCGGGACAGAATTTTCAGGCCTGCAACCCGCACTGTGCAGTCCTGCTCCTGCCCACTCCCGCAAAGAACTGTCAAATTTTCAGTTCCGCTCCTGCCTGCACGTCTGCCGATATTTTGTCCCGCTCCCACCCACAAATCCCGCAAGATGAGCATGTTCGCTTTCTTAAGCTCTATCAAACACGGAGAAGCAGAAAGGAATTGTGTAAATGTGCACGAGATTAGACCACATACGCAAGTTTAGGCTGCTTAAAATGTTTTTATTGATGCCAAATAAAATATCCAGCCCAAATTATGTATGATAGAAACATGAATTATTTGTATATTTTACTTTAAACTCATATTTAGTTCCCGCTCCTGCCCGCGCCTGCAATGAGCTTTCAAAATGTGTCCCTCGCTGCACTGTTTTGCGTCGGGTCCCTTGGATCAGTGCAGGGCTCTACTACCAATGGAATCGCACTTAATTCAAGCAACATTTGATTTTGTTTCATATTTTAAGTGCAAAAAGTTGTTGTTTTTCTTATTTTAAGTGAAGCAAAATGTGTTTTCATATTTTACGTATAAAAAGTCTTATTCCACTGGCAGATTTAGATACTTTACAAGTGAAATTTACTCAAATCATGATAAAACTTTCTTAATTCAAGTCATCTTAACTTGACTAGATTTAGTTTTTTGCACTGCAGTCCATTCAAAACTTTAAAAACAAACAATAAAATCTTAAAATCAATTCTAAAACGAACTGGAAGATAGTGCAACGACACTAAAATTGGGGTAATGTGCTTTCGTTTTTTTGGTTCTAGTTAAAAAAAAGCGCAGCAGAATTTTGGTGCACCTTTAAGAAAAACTGTTGAGTACATTTTTGGCTATAAATGTGATTTTTTTTATTTTTTTTATTGTGTAACCTTTTTTTTTAATGGTTCATACAAAAACATTTTGACATGAAACTGTTCAGGAAAGGAAAAATAAAAGAACAAAGTTTTACATTTATTATTTTGTCATAAAATGTCAAAATCGTCTCTCTCATTTTGTGGGGTTATTAGCTTAAACAAAGATTAAACAAGTATTCTTTGTTTCTTTCCTTTGTTTTCGTCACAGTTTGTCCCAAATGGTCTTATTTTGGATAAACTGTTTTTGAGTTTTATCCAAAGCTTTTCTTCAGTGATCGCCGCAAGAATCGAAAAACGGTTCAGTTGTTTTTGTTCTGACTCCCACTCCCTTCAGTGTGCTCCAAGCTGTTTTATGAAATAGAAAACAAAAATGGAAAAATTTGAATACTCAGGTTAGTTTGAAAAACTGGCCAAATAATCCAATAAATCCAATATTTATAAATACTTTTTTTTTTCTTTACAGTTAAACAAAGGCCAAACTTTTATTTTGTTAAATGAAGGTTTAAAGATACGTTGTGTAACTTTTCTGGTGGAGGTTCCATCAAATACTTTTCTCCATGGAGATGTTATTGCTTTTTCTGGAATGTTTGACAGTACATGGAGACCAAACCAACACCAAGTTACAGGTCAGATCTGTGGAGAATGCTTTTCTTGGTATTTTTGAGCTTTAAAAAACCGCCTGTAATTGAATAAATGTGAGGTAGAGCTGTTTAATGTCACACTGTGGAACATTCCAGGCAGGGCAATGACATCTCCATAGAAACAAGCAGGTGACGGATCCCCAACCAAAAAGTTACACAGTGCATCTTTAAACTGTCAGAAAACTGAACTGCCTTTCTTGCCTGTAAATTGTCTCTACATTTTGGGAGGAGATTTTGGTGTTGCTGACATAGGTAGAGGTATCCTGTTTTAAAACTCAGAGCGACTTGTGTATTTTTGTACTTTTCTTCTCATCTTTTTTTTTTTTTCTACACACTGCCACTTAAAGGTGCATTGTGTAACTTTTCAGTTCAGGGTCCATCACTTTCTTGTTTCTATTAAATGTCATTGCTCTGCCTGGAATGTTCCACAGTACCGTATCTTTCAGACTATAAGTCGCTCCGGAGTATAAGTCGCACTTTTTGGGAGAAATTTATTTTATAAAATCAGAGACCAGGAACTGACATTTCATCTTGAAAGTCAAGTTCTCATAATAACAATAGAAGAGAGAACAACGGACTGTTAACGTCACATATGAACAGTTCTTCAGATAAACTGTAACATAAACAACAGAACAGAACAAGTTTAACAAACTCTCCATCTCACTCCAAATCACTAAATCCATTCAATTCTTCATCCTCGGTGTCACTTCTGAGCAACTCCTCGACCTCTGGAGGTAAACAGAGCACCGCTTCCTCTTCTGTGTCGCTGTCGTCAGACTCAGCATCAGTTCCAGTTAGAATTATTCGGGTCTTTCTGAATCCCGACAGGATGGTTTTGGTGTCACTGAAGTCCAGACTTTGTCCATCCATCCAGTGACTTCAGGAAAGTTTCATGGTGCATCCTCCCGGTGTCACAAGTTTCTCACTCCAAACTTTTTCTGCTGCTGTTCGACTGACATGATACAGACAGGACAGAGGCTCTTTCTGCAGGAGACATGCGCAGTAGAGCCAAGTGACAGTGGTACAGGAGGAACAGGAGCAGCAGATACTGACACACAAGATTAGAGCCTCGAGGCTTCAGTGTGAAAATTTTTTATATATAAGTCGCACCAGAGTATAAGTCACAGGAAACGCCCAAACCATGAGAAAAAGTGCAACTTATAGTCTGAAAAGTATGACATTAAACAGCTCTACCTTATATTTATTCAATTACAGGTGGTTTTATAGCTCTAAAATACCTTGAGCGGGGTCGCCTCTCCACAGATCTGACCTGTAACTTGGTCTGGTTTGGTCTCCATGAAAATAGAACGATTTAATCCCATAGTGTGAAACATTCCAGACAAAGCAATAACATTTCCATTGAGAAAAGCAATTGATGGACCAGAAAAGTTACACAATGCACCTTTAACTGATCCACCACCGAGTCAAGTCATACTTAGAAAAACCTGAAACCTGAATCTTACGCAATGCTGTCAGCGCATGTCAAACTCTTGTTCTTGCCGACACATTCTCATGTCTCTCATTATGTGGGATTTGCGGCTCGTCGTCGCCCCCTGTTGACCTTTCTCCCCTGCTGCTCCTCCTCTTCCTCAGGCGCGGGTCAAGCCTCACCGGACCTTTCGTTTTAATGAGTGTGTGTGCACGCCCTACAACGCCGACTTCGATGGAGACGAGATGAACCTGCACCTGCCCCAGACTGAGGAGGCCAAAGCAGAGGCCCTGGTGCTCATGGGGGTACGTGTGTGTCCTAATGAAAAGACCTGTTAAAGGAGCTGCACCAGACTTTTTCACATGTGTTTGAGCAAAGTTTGTCTTGCCACAGTATTGATGTGTTGTACAAGCAGCTCTTGAGGTCAAAATAATCCAAAATAATCCAAAATAAACCTGCACAGACTGTATAAAGACGTGTACATCAAACACTGTGTTCGGCTCCAGTCAAATGAAGCTCACTGAAGCTCACTATTGTCTTCATCTAAATTATGTTGTGTTTGGTTTGCTAGTTATTGTTAGTTTTACAGTGACAGCAAAATTAATGACAGTGATTAATAAAAAATGAATGTATAAGAATAACTTTGGACCGTGGAAAAGTGTTTACATAATGATTGCGAGTGACAGTAGCTCAACCGGCAGAATGTTTGTCCACTGATCTGAAGTTTGGTGGTTCAAATCCATGGATCTAAAATAAATAAATATGTGTTGCTGCTTGTAGTTGTTGCAAGTTGGCGTAGTGGACACTCACTGGTACTACAGCGAAAAAATATAGCTCGGTGCAATCACAACCTGCTCGTGTTTGGCTGACAGGGCACCTACAACTTTAAAAAAATATCGGATTTTCTGGCGATTTTTACCTATTTTTAGATCATAAAATTTTTCTCAGCTTAAAATACTTCAACTGTCTTAAAAAAAACGTTTCATAATCGTTCGCTCCGGCTCCACTCTGCTCTGCTCTAGCTCCTCTCGCTCTGATTGGTCAAAGCGATCACATGATACTCAAGCCTGTGCAGGGTGCAGGCGAATCTGGAGTCATGCGCCGTTGAGCTCGGCCCATTGACTTGAATGGGCGACCGTTTGTAGATCCCAGGGCTTGTTTAAATCTCACTCTCGACATAAACGTCAATGGTTTTAGGGGTTAGATTCACTCACCCGCAGGTTGGCGGTCCGAATTCAGTTCTCACAGATCAGTGCTGTCATCAGGTAAAACACTTAACCAACTTAACTCTATGAATGCGTGTCAGTGGATTAGTTGGTTGGTTGAGTGCCTTGAAGGAAGCACTGTATAAAAATATGACCATGACCGATTTGCATACTGTTTTATTTAAAGCTACCATCTGTACGTCTATTTTGTTTTTCCAGTAGATGGCAGATGTGAAACCTTTTCCCCTCATCTGTCCTTTGTCCAGGCTCAAATCATAGAATTATAATAAAATCTGAAAGATGGCGTCGTATTGTTTTCAGTGGTCAGTGCTCATTAGCTCTAGCGTGATTCATCAGACGGTTTCACTTCATAGAAACCGTCTGACCTCACAGCATTAGGATTCATTCGCTCGACGGTAGAAGGGTACTTTTTTTATTTAACCAATCGCTGCTATTTGGTCGTGATGTATGTAATGCGCCGCTAATGGGGCTAACTGGTATATTAAGCTTTTCCCAAATCCCGTAGGAAGAAGGGCAATAACGTCTTTCCCCTTGATAAAATTCACCAAACATTCTCTTTGTTTCGGCTTTAAATCCTCGATCTTGGGAATCGTTGCCAACACTGAATGTTTGGCTCTTTGCTAATTGGCTGGTGCCCGAACTCGCACTTCCGGAGTTTTTGCGAACCGTCTAGTGTGTTCCGATTCCTGACCTAGTCGCTGGAGAGAAATGAAATTGAAGCTCATTGGTGCATGGGCCTCCAAAAAAATTTCACTTCGGCATTTAATTCCTCAATAGGCTCTAGCTCCTCCCACCCATGTGACGTCTGTAATGTTCACGACGTGGAGCGTTTGGACCAATCAAAGCTACTAGAGCGGAGGTAGCGTAGGCTCAGAGCGGGACGAGGCTGAGTCTTACAAAGCGAACTTTTAGGAGCTTTGAGGATTTAAAAATGTTAAAAAGTTTATGTTGTGAAAATAGAAAAGAATCCTACAAAATCCGACCTTTGTGAAAGCTGTGGATGCCCTGTCAGCCGAACATGAGCAGTTTGAATTCCCCCAAAAAATGCATTGTGCTTCTAGTGGAAGAATTCTTGCTGGGCCCAAACTCCCGAGAGCTGCAGTACCTGGAACAGCCACTAGTCAGTCTCGAGCCGGGACAGAGGGAGAACGCCTTATCCAGTTTTTATTATAGATCCAAGGCTCAACTGTGCTCTCTGGTCGTCTTCTGTTAGACCAAAGCTGCCCGCCAATCTAATTACGAATGGTAGCTTTAATGACAATAAATAGTGATTATAGAGGCCATAATAGGATAATTAATTACACTGTAGTCGCAACCAAATCATAATGTGCAAGACACTAAATGAAAGTAAATTAGATAATTCAGTAATCGTCTCAGTAATCATGTTAATTGCTTTATTTCAACATTTCTCCTCTCTATATTTTTTGCTCAAATACATGTGAAAAGAAGAGTACAGGACTTTTTAATTATTACATTTCAATATTCCTTCTCTCTAACGGCTCGGATCAAATTTAACATTGTGACACCCGTACAAAGGCTCCGTTCGTCAAACAGGTTACAGCTTCTGCCGTGTTCAAAATGAAATTATAACTGTTATTATCCTGTCCGCAGACAAAAGCCAACCTCGTCACTCCCAGAAACGGGGAACCTCTGATCGCCGCCATCCAGGACTTTCTGACAGGTGAACGAGGACATGCTTTCAAAGGCAGTCTGTGTTTTTTCTATTTTTCCTCATGTCAAAACCTCCTCACGATACAGATAAAGTGGACGTATTGTGCTAAACTCATCGATTTACTCCCGTCACAGACATATGAATTGTTTTGTTTCATGCATGTATCTTTTAAAAGTGTATTAGGGCTGCAAATATCTGAAAATTTGTATAAAAAAGGTCCTATATTACGTAAAATTGACTCTTGTGAGCTTTAAGTCATGTTATAATGTTGTTACCTCCTCAAAATCAGACCTGGAGTTGTGTTTTGTTTCATTCCCGCGTTTGAGTAATCCTTTATTATTAAGGTCCGTTCAGACCAGAGCATCGATGTGGACGTGTATTAAGGGCGTTCTGCGTTTTTGCGGCGCGTCTTTCTGGCATCGACGCGGCGTGTCTTGAGCGTTCTGGCGTCGACGCGCTAGATGCGTGTCCAGGGCGTCGGTATCAAAAGTTGACAATGCAGAACTTTTCACGTCAGATGCGCCAAGGCAAACCAATCAGGGACGAGTATCCAGAGACGCAGCGACGTTATTGTCCAGAAGAAAGAGAAAGACCCGAGAACTGGTGTGTAAATATATACACATCACTGAACCGATCACAAGGACTAGACCAGGACCAAACTAGACCAGGACCGGACCAGGACCGGACCAGGACCGGACCAGTACTGGACCAGGAGCGGACCAGGACCAAACTAGACCAGGAGCGGACCAGGAGCGGACCAGGACCGGACCAGTACTGGACCAGGAGCGGACCTGGACCGAACTAGACCAGGGCTGAACCTGGACCAGGACCGGAGCAGGACTAAACCAGAACTAGACCAGGACTGGACCAGGACCGGACCAGGACTGGACCAGGACCGGAGCAGGACTAAACCAGAACTAGACCAGGACTAAACCAGGACCGAACGAGACCAGGACTAGACCAGGACTAAACCAAGACCGAACTAGACCAGGACCCGACCAGGACTAAACCAGGACTAAACCAGGACCTGGACCAGGACCAAACCAGAACTAGACCAGGACTAAACCAGATATAGACCAGGACAAAACCAGGACTATACCAGGACTGATCCAGTGTCATTAGTGGAGTATATTTGTGCATATATACGCCTCAACCGTCGAGCCGTTCGCCTCCGCTGATGGTTTTATGTAATAAAAACACCATCGTTTCGGGAAAAGACCAGGACCGGCCACTTGTTTCCAGGACAACGGACGTAGGCCAAGTATTTCTCCCGTTTGTCCACGGCTTCCAAGACTCGCATCAGGGGTGTCTGAACTCCAATACAAAGGCGTCCAAATAGAGGCGTCTAGGGCACAGGTGTCAAACATGCGGCCTGGGGGCCAGATTTGGCCCTCCAAGACCTTTAATCTGGCCCTCGGCAGATTTTCTACTAAAATATTTAAATTCTATTTTTTATTAACATATTGGTAATTTTCTGTGGTGTTGATCACAGCAGCATCTCCAGTGTCTCTGTACGTGGCCCCTCCCACCAGAGCAGCACAAATGAAGACTTGTCTCTTTCCAAACGCTCTTAAAGGACGATCGTTTTGACTGTTGACCGTGACACCCTCATCAGAAAAATGTCCAACATGAGAAAAGTGGAGCCGAGTGCAGGATTTTCCAAGAAAAATTTACTTATTCCTATTTACATACAAGTTAATGTTAAACAAGTTCATGTTAAAACATTGTGTTGAAATTACATTTTTCTTAAAGTTTCAGGTTGTTCATAATATTATAATATTTTGTAAAAGAAAGAGTTCATCAATTAAAACAGATTTCTGTAATAGATTTGTGTTTCTCTGCACAAATATTTGAACTTATTGTTATTTTTGGGGTTTATATGACATGAGTTTTCTGATCCGGCCCCTTTGGGATCAAAGTAGGTTGGATACGACCCCCGGACCAAAATGAGTTTGACACCCCTGGACTAGGGCGTTTTTTGACGCTCCGGTCTGAACGGTACTTTAGTCTGTCTACAAACACAACTCCTGGTTTGTTTGTGATGACGAACCAACATTATAAAACAGATATAATATAAATAGCGTAATATAGTCTGTGTATTTTTATGTTACTTCAAAACTTTCTCACAATACAATTTAAGAGACCATTTTATTCTAACTACCGTATTTTCCGGGCTATTAGACGCGCTCTTAAGCCTCCAACCGCATCAAAAAATGACTGCGCGTCCCACAATCCAGATACACGAATCCACTCGGGTCTCCCAGCACGACTTCAGTAAACTATAAAGCCGCAAAAACACACACGGAGCAGACAGCGACCCCACAGCAAAAAACACCCACAGACACACTCATCACTCCACGCCGACGAGGAACGGAACGGAGGAACAAACTGAAAAAGCGAGCGCAATGTGCCGCTTCTATACACAACTGAACAACTGAGTCACTGCGAACACGCCAACAATCCGTTGGTCCCAGACAGCACCTCCCTACACACCACAACTGAACAAAGCCCAGAGTCACCGTGAACGACACAAACAAACAAAACCACTCACCCATCACACTGTTGTGTTTCCTTTAAAGTCCGGTGCGGTTTATTTGTGAAAAAAGTTCAAAAATAGACCATTTAATGCCTTATAACGCCTTATAATCCAGAGCGACTAATAGCCCGGAAAATACGGTACTACTGACTGATTTACTGTATTTTTTGGAGTACAAGTTGCTCTGGAGTATAAGTCGCACCAGCCAAAAAATGTGTAATGAAGAAGAAAAAAAATATACAAGTTGCACTTTTTGGGGGAAATTTATTTTATAGAATCATACACCGGAGCGACTAGTCTGAAAAATATGGTAATTCAGAATCACTCAAACTTTTGTGAATGCAACAAAACACAACTCCAGGTCATTTTTTGACGAGGAAACGGCATTCTAAAGAGGCTTAAAACTCACAATAGTCCATTTTGTGTAATATAAAAACAGAACCAAACAAGTCTGTGACAAACCCGAACTAGGACACTCTTTGTACGCAAAAACTCCCATTCAGCATTCACTCTATGGCCTAGAATTCAAATTAAAAGAGTACAAACATTGACAGCACGTGTTCGGAGGGTGATTTCAAACTCTTTGGTGTTTGGCTAAATCTACTTCTTTCTTTTTACGCTTCCGTTCGCATCTCTGTCGAAGAACACTACAAAAAAGAAGAGAGAGACACCTTTATCAAAGAAATGACAAGCTGCTACATTTTCATTTTCCATTCCGTAATTTCACGTTTTACTGAGAATTGCAAAACACACTCTAAAATCTGTTATGAAGGCTGGAAGTTCTTTCAGGTGCAGACTTATCAAGTAATTATTTCTATTCAGACTTCTGCCAGAAAAAAATAGAAGTAGTAATTAAACGATATAAAAGCCACATTGAAAAGGCAGCACTTGGACATTTCAGAATAGGTTTCTTTTCAAACATTTGTTCTTCTGGTCTTGTTTTTTGCATGTTTTAGTCTGTTTGCTGAGCTTTTTACATTGATTTCCTAATTCACTTCAATTTGATTCAATGAAGGTACAATTTCAGGTTTGGAAAAACCTTAATCTCTTATAAACTTTGTCTAAAATGATTGAATCCCTTTGACGATATACTGATGATTAGTCATATTTATAGCAACACTGTATAACTTTCTGGAGGTGGCATGTCACCTGCAGGATTCCATGGAAGTAGAAAATTAAATAAGTTTTATATTTTATGTTGTGGAATATATATAGCCAAAATTTCATTGGGAACAAACAGGAGAGGCTCTTTTCCAAAGTCAGGAGTCATTTTTGTGGAGATGCAAGCCCACTCACTTTAAGTTTTTCAGTGCAATAAACAATGAAGAAAAAACAAACAAAAAAGCACGTTTTATTTTCGTCAAATTATTATTTTTTTTTTTGGCTAAAAAGCTTACACGGTGGGGCTTTATTCCTGCATTTTTAGTTTGAATTTAAAGTTCATTACATATATATATATATATATAGCCAACAAAATTTCCCTGGAAATAAGCTCGAGTCAGGTTTATGGAGATGCAAGCCCGCTCACAGTAAGTTTTCAGTGCAATAAATAAATAACAAAATGAAACAAAAAACAAACAAAAAACAAAAACATGCTTTTATTTTCGTCAATTTTTTTTAAACTAAAACATGAAACGGTGCAATTTTTAAAACGTTAAACTGCAATTTTTAGTTTCAGTTTGAAGTCCATTAACATTTTATGCTATACTTCAACCACAACAAGACGTCTCTATGATCTCTGTCTCATCTTTATCTGTATTTAAAGCAACACTGCGTAACTTTCTGGAGGTGGCATGTCACCTGCAGGATTCCATGGAAGTAGAAAATGAAATACGTTTTATATTTTATTTTGTAGAATAATATATATATCCAAATTAACAAAATTTCCATGGAAACAAGCAGGAGGCATCTCTTCTCCAGTTAAGTCAGGAGTCAGGTTTGTGGAGATGCAAGCCTGCTCATAATAAGTTTTTCAGTGCAATAAACAATGAAAAAAACAAAATGAAAGCAAAGCAAAACACAAAACAAAAATAAAAAACATGCTTTTATTTTCATCTATTTTTCTGGGGCTTTATTCCTTCTTAGTTTGAATTTAAAGTTCATTAACATATTATTAAATACTTGAACCACAGCCAAGACGTCTGTATGACAATATAACGGTGACATGATAGATAAAAATTTGTATTTAAAGCAACACTGCGTAACTTTCTGGAGGTGGCATGTCACCTGCAGGATTCCATGGAAGTAGAAAATTAAATCCGTTTTATATTTTATGTTGTCGAATATATATTGTGGAATATGTGCAAGCATGTTTTTCAGAGCAATAAACAATGACAAAACAAAACAAAAAATATGCTTTTATTTTCGTCTATTTTTTTAGCTAAAAATATTACACGATGGGGTTTTATTCCTGCAGTTTTTAAAGTTCATTAACATTAACAAAAAAAACAAAACACAAACACAATACAATAAATATTTTTAAATTTTCGTCAATTCTTTTTAATAAAATGTTACACGGTTGGACTTTGTTTTAGCATTTTTTACATGATTCCTGCTTGATTCCATGAAAATTGAATGTTAAAACCAAACTTCAGAACAAGTTTTACGTTTTATACTGTGGAATATAATCACAGAATTTCCATGGATACAAGCACAGGCTCTTCTCCCATTAAGCCAAGAGTCAGGTTTGTGGAGAAGCAAGCCTGTTTCTCATTACGAACGCATTTTTAGCACAATAAACATATCCAAAATGAAAAAAAAGGTATATTTATTTTGATGGGCCTTTATTTGAACCTAGTATTTTGTGCCTTTTGCTTTCCTCAAGGACCGAACTTGTACCTTTTTAGCATTTCTGTTTGATTATAATCTGCATATTGATTTGAAATTCATAGAAGTCTCGTATCAAAGCTTGCGTAAAAAACTTTAAAGCGCATTCTGATCTTCCCGCAGGGGCCTACCTCTTGACTTTTAAGGACACGTTCTTCGACAGATCAAAAGTTTGTCAGATCGTGGCGTCCATCCTCGTCGGAAAAGATCAGAAAGTCTGCATCACTTTGCCCAGACCAGCAATTATGAAGGTACTTGTTCTCGTCATCTGTTGTGTAAGAGAAAGACCATTGGGTTCCAGACTGGGGTTTTTAAGTGCAGTTTCAGCTCATTAAACTGGACTCCACTGTTTTTGTCTATGGTCATTTTTTATTTATTTTTTTCTTGGTTTTGATGTAAGCTGTTGACCTCTCGACCGAGTTCAGGCCTCATTAAGGGGCGGTATTCATGTTTTGCGGCTGACGTCATTAAAACTTCCTGTGGGAGTGATTCTAACTGAAGCTCAAATTAGACTTTAATCTGAGTTTTATTTGAAGAGAAAGAGCTGATTTACTTAAACGTGCATTGTGTAACTTTTCTGGTGGAGGGTCCGTCAATTGCTTTTCTCCATGGGGATGTTATTGCTTTGTCTGGAATGTTTCACAGTATGGCTTTAAATGTTTCGATCTTCATGAAGACCAAAACCGGACCAAGTTACAGGCAGGGTTCCCACGGTCATGGAAATCCTGGAAAAGTTATAGAAATTGAAAGTGTTATCTTCCAGGCCTGCAAAAGTCATGGAATGTTGTGAATTCAATGAAAGCTTTGGAAAAGTCATGGAATTTTAGTATCTCTTTCGCGCAACTAAAGCGTTCTGTTAATTTCTCATTAGACTGTTATGATTATTTCTAAACGTCTGCGCCTTTTGTTTGAAAGAGACGACAATAAATGCACTGAGTATTTTGAATGTTAAAAACGGTAATACCAGGGGACTATTTTTAGGACTTGAGACTTGACTTGATAAAATGGACTAAGACTTGGGACTCGACTTGGACTTGAAGGTCAATGACTTGGGATTTGACTCGGGCTTAAGGCCTGTGACTTGAGAAGCACTTTTAAATCTGAATTCTTTCTATTCTGACTGTAATGATTCACACTAAGACATTTAAAAAGGAAAAATAAACATTTCTACAACTCTATAAATATTCAAATATAAATATACTATGATTTTTTTATGATTATCTTAAAATTCATATAAATTTCTATATTTGGTACTTTATCTTCAAGATTTGAAATGACTTGAAGCTCAAAGCAGACGACTTGGACTTTATTTGGACTTATGGGCCAGTGACTCGAGACTCGACTTGGACTTGCCTGTATTTGACTTGGGACTTGACTCGGACTTGAGGTCAAAGACTTGAGACTCACTTGAGACTTGCAAAACAACTTGGTCCCACCTCTGCCGTAAAGTCATGCAAAATTCACTTTAGGTCATGAAAAAAGTCATGGAAAAGTTTAGAAATTTTGTTTTGAAAGTGAAAAGGAGTGGGAACCCTGTACAAGTCAGATCTGTGGAGAGGTGACCCCCTCACAGTCAGAGTGTCTGTTTTTCTAGGTATTTTTGAGCTATAAAACAACTTGTAATTGAATAGATGTAAAGTAAAGCTGTTTAATGTCATACTGTGGAACATACCAGGCAGAGCAATGACGTATCCATAGAAACAAGAAGGTGACGAACCCCCAACCAAAAAGTTACACGGTGCACCTTTAATCAGGACTTATATTTGGCTGTATCAGGTTTTTTTTTTAAATGTATTTTTATCATGCGCAAACCAGGAAGTGCTCTGTTCTTTTCATATGTGATGTTGAAATATTCATGTTTTAATAAAATTGTCTTGTCTGTATTTCAGCCGATGGCTTTATGGACCGGGAAACAGATCTTCAGCCTCATTTTGAAACCAGGAAACGACTGCCCGGTTAAAGCCAATCTGAGGACCAAAGGGAAGCAGTACTGCGGCAAAGGGGAGGATCTGTGCCACAACGACTCATGTAAGCATCGAAGCATCGGCTCTTTCGATTGGCTGCGCTCTAATTGATGGTGTCGTACTCCCGGGTGGCGCGCGAGGAGCAGTCAGTTTGAGATTGGCTCCAGAGGCTCCCCGTATTCATCTTACGGCTCGAAGTCTGTTCATTCACTCAGATTAAATCTTTACCGTCGTATTGATACTTTGCAATGACGTCATGCTGGGGGTGTTCTACGTGTATGTTTACTGGAAACTAATTCACACAACAAACAAACACAAAATGGATTTAAACGGCACATTTTCAGCAGCTTGTGAGCAACATGAGCGCTCGTGGTCCTGTTTACGTGTTTGATTATCAACAAAAAAGGTGAGAATGACTAACTGGAAAAACTCTGTAATGGTATTTGAGAGGAACTTCAGCTCATCTGTTGTAGTTTCAACTACCGTATTTTTTGGACTATAAAGCACACCGGATTATAAGGCACAATATCAATAATGTTGAATTCTCTTGTCTATTTTCATACATAAATTGCACTGGATTATAAGGCGCATTAAACAAAACAAACGGACGACACTTGAGACTGATCCTTAGTCCAGACGTCCACGATCCATCGGCAGATCGTGGTGTAATTCGCCCGGCTTTACCTCCCTGTCTTGGTGAATATGTATTATGAATGTGAATGTGGGTGGATCATTTGTTTGTTTTTTTATTCCCTACGAGGACGACTCAAATATACATTAAGTAATAATGTGTTTAATGCAGCATTGCGCACATTTGTTTACATTTTACAGAAAGGAAACTTAAAACCACATGGCTTATTTGCATAAACTATAAGTGCTGAAAAAACACTCTCTCACTCACTTCTTGTGCGCTGATGCGGTTCAGCTTTTGTCAGACTAAAGGACACGACTCAGTGGAATATGAGTGTTCTCTCTGCGACAAGGTGACGGCGGCATCGTGCACTGAGTCAACACAGAACTATTCTTCACCCTTTACTCCATGAGGTTCCTGTCTACAGTTACCGTAATGCTCAGACAATCTATCAAGCGGTGCGGCCTCGTATCTTACCAAAGTCGTACTAAAACATTTTGACAGATTTTTGAGCGCCGTGTACCACATAAAATTGGTTTGAGGTCCATAAGCACAACCAGAATTAATACATAAGACACACTGTCGATTATTGAGAAAATTACCGTATTTTCAGGGCTATTAGTCACGCTCTTAAGCCTCTAACCACATCAAAAAACGACCGCGCACCCCACAATCCAGAGCGCCCGATACACAAATCAACTCGGGTGTCCCAGCACGACTTCAGTAAACGACAAAGCCGCAAACACACGCAGAACATGCAAACACACACGGAGCAGACAGCGACCACACAGCGAAAAACACCCACAGACACACTCATCACTCCACGCCGACGAGGAACGGAACGGAGGAACGAACTGAAAAAGCGAGTCCAATGTGCCGCTTCTAGACACGACTGAACAACTGAGTCACTGCGAACATGCCAACAAATCCCTCCCTACACGCCACAACTGAACAAAGCCCAGAGTCACCGTGAACGCCACAAACAAACAAAACCACTCACCCATCACACTGTTGTTTCCTTTAAAGTCCAGTGTGGTTTATTTGTGAAAAAAGTTCGAAAATAGACCATTTAATGCGTCTTATAATCCAGAACGCCTAATAGCCCGGAAAATATGATAAATGATTTCAAGTGCGCCTTATAGTCCGAAAAATACGGTAAGTCTTCTTTTGTAGTTCCAACTAATTTTTCTGGTCAGACTTTGTTAAAATACAACTCAGATTAAAGTCTAACAAAGCCTCAGACAGAGCAGCGCCTACAGTTAGGAAATGTGGATGACATCGGCTGCAAAGTATCAGTAATGACACTTTTTTTTTAAGCTACTTTGAAAATATATTTTTGTTTATTGACGCTGACAGAGACACTGAACTTTGTGTCAGTTTTTGTTTCCCACATGACTCAAGTGAAGGCGTATTTATTACAGAAATATAAACCATAATTCAGGTCCAGTTTGTATTTTGACAGTTAAAAGCACATCCTGCCACACAATTTAGACTCAATTTTTATGCTGTGGGCGAGTTCACCTCTTCTGTGCTCTATATCCTTGTGAGAATGGTGAAACGTCAGCGAATTACAGCTCCAGTGGGAGACATGATCTGTATGAAGTAAAGGTCACTATTGATTGACTGTTTGCTGGCTTTAAAGCTGAAGTCAACAAGCCCAGCGCCGTAATTGAACACAATTTACACGATGATTCTAGAAATTACAGACCATATGTGTTTAGTTATTGTATTAATAATGGATCTAAACCAAAGAGACATTGGTCAAATCTGCGTTTTAAATCCTTATTGAGATTCGGTGATATTGTCATCAAAATGTCACCAAAATTTGAGCAATGAAGATTTCGGTTCGATTTTTTTATTCATTTCCAAAAGATATGAATGAAATCAATGAATTAATGAATGCAGAAAAACACAAATACATTAAATAAATAAATAAAGGTACATTATGTAATTCTTTATTTTTAGTCTGTCTACATGTCCAAAGCTCAAAATGCTCTGTTCCACCTTGTGATGTCATGAAGTGAGGGTTTTCAAGTTACTAGCTACTATTTATTACTTCTAGTTCAGTAGAGATGGGAAATTCTGGGGATGACAGCTAGGAGTGTGCAAAAATATCAAAACATTGAGATATCGTATCGTTTAATTTTGATGCATCAGCCGGTTTCACTTTTTGGAAACCGTCTGACCTCACAGCATTAGGATTCGTTCGCTCGACGGTAGGCGGGTACTTTTTTATTTAATCATTCGCTGCTATTTGGTTGTGACATATATAATGCGTAGGAAGAAGAATAACGTCTTTCCCCTTGATAAAATTCACCAAACATTCTCTTTGTTCCGGCTTTAAATCCTCAATCTCGCGAATCGTTGCAAACACAGAATGTCTGTTTTCGTCTACATCCATCTCGACGCTTTGTTTACTGTTGTGCTGTTCCACAAATGGGACCCAGACAGGCGCTTGAGTTTGACGTTAGGGATGTCCCGATCACATTTTTTTGCCCTCGAATCAGAGTCCGAGTCCTTTGATTTTGAGTATCTACCGATACCGAGTCCTGATCCGATATTTCTATAAAACATTATAAAATTAACTAAGAGCAAAGAATAAAGATCCAGGATGTGTGGGGGGATCAGACTGTGTTGATTTGAAAGTGTAGTATTTGGGCTGACCTTAGTGTGAAAAATCAAATGTCCAAAACGTAAATTTTTTTTAATTAACTTTTCTAACCACCCCAACGTCCGGGGTTCTTGAATAGCGTCCAGTGTATTCCGATTCCTGACCTAGTCGCTGGAGAGAAATGAAATTGAGCGGAGGCACTTGGCGGCAGTTTTGTTGCTTGTTCAGAGGAAACTTTTCACTGTTTTGATGATTAAAATGGCTGTTTTTCATATTAACTTCGTACAAGAAGTGGTTTAACAAAGCCTTTGGTATCACAGACATGATTTAGTATTTATTTTTTATTGAACCGTATCAAATTGTAAGTGCACTGTATCGAGGCATGTATTGTATCGGCAACTTCTTAATGATATCCAGCCCTAATGACATCACAAGGTGGATCAGAGTGTTTTCTATTTGAGAGAAAAACTCCGCTTAAATATGCAGGGTTTGTGTGTTAAACGTGTGAATGAAACAAAACAACAACAGCAACTCATGTTTATGTGTTTATATCGACTCACACTCTCCGCCGCTGCCTCATCTGTCCATATTTATTTTAGCACAACTCTGCAAAAACCGCATGGCCATTACATTACCGTGAAAATGGTTAAACTGACTGTTCCTCTGATTGGTCTGGGATGTAATAATTATTTTCGTGACTTGGTTCTGTCAAAAGTTCACGCTCCGGGGCCTCCACCTCTGAGCCGGGATAATAAAACGTCCGTCGTAATTCTATTCTCTCGCACACGCTAATGTAGCTTTTGGCACTAGTGATTACCCCAGTGTGAAAGACCTGCCTATTATGTCCACGGAGACCGAAGCCACCGGGGGACCCGAGGAGGGAATGAGACGGGGTAAAGTCCAGGCTTTCTGTCCAATTATTTTCAATTGTCCACCGTGAAAAATCAGGGCACTCAACCCCTCTGCTGCATTATAAATAGGTTTTGAGACTGTAAAAATGTACAGCTTTTTGTAGATATCGAAGTTTTATAAGAAAAACTTTAAAGCTGCATTGCGTAACTGTTCTGGTTCGGGGTCCGTCACCTGCTTGTTGCTATGGAGATGTCATTGCGCTGCCTGGAATGTTCCACAGTGTGACATTAAACAAATCGACTTTACATTACAGTGGTTTTATAGCTCAAAAATACCTACCGTAAATTCCGGACTATAAGCCGCAAGTTTTTTTCTCACATTTTGAACCCTGCGGCACAATAAAATGAAGCGGCGAATATATGGACAGGATTCTTTGTTTGGCACATTGTTTGTTCATATTTACGGTCTATGGTTTGGCAACACAGCAGATACAATGCAGCCTGAGTGTAGAAAACGCCCCTGTGTGTGCTACACTAGCTCGCGATATTGTCAGCACTAAAACAGTTTGATAAAACAAGGTATGACGCTAAATGAACGTTAGTGAGGGGGATATGTCTTACCTGTCTGCGTAAATGACGAGAAGAAACGTCTCAAACTTCAGTAGATGGACATCCACTCATACCTGACTGATAGAACTAGTCCCTCCCCCAAGAGAGTCTGTCCTGTCTGTATCATGTCAGTGTCTTGGAGGATTTCAGCAGATTTCAGAGGCTCTTTCTGCAGGAGACATGTGCAGTAGAGCGCGGGGAGAGACGGGGGATTGATTGTGTTTTGAACTGTTATTTTGCGCTTCATACACACACCCTCCTCATGGAAAACACACGAAGAAATACACATGATGCAGCTTTCAAGTTAAAGGCGATTGATGTGTATGTAGAAGAAGGAAACCTCGACATCAGTGAGTCGATGG